GCACTAGCACTGAAGCAAATTTTGTCAACTATTCATGGATGGGATGAAAATATTCCGAAAAGGTCAAAATCGTTAGCATCTTTTCAGAAATGATGTTCGGTCAGTTAGTAATTCACCATATTTATCAATTTAACTGTTCCGTGTCAACATCAATACAACGCTGAAAGAAATGAGAACAAAAATTCAACATTTATATATTTCTAAAAAGGGAAACAATCAGAAATAGTATGACTTATATGGAAATGACGCTCGGTCGGTTGGGAATTTTCATGACCATTTTCATCCTAGCAAGGTATATCTGTTCAGTGGAATCTGTTTGAAAGAACAATGGAAAAAAAACTCCCAACACTAGATAAATCGGTTTCTTTTATTTGCAATAATCAACAGATCCTTAATTAAATAACAAGTAATTGAAGGCAGAAATTTAGTAAAATAAGAAGGATGCTAGAGTGGATAGCGTCCAAGCCAGGACACTACTAGAAACATTATCTGGATAAGGACACTATCAAAAACATCATCCACAATCTGGGTCAGCCCAATCCACACATTTGTCTATTGCTGGCCACCTTAGGCCCCCAAAATCTCCTCCCATATTGGGCACTTAATTCTTCCTTCCTACGTTACATTTGGACTGACCTCTCACAGCATGAGTTAACATACACAGCAAGCAATTTGAATGGATTTGTCTATTAGTACTTAAACATGTACATGGCAGCAATTTATCTGTCAATATATTGAGGATCCATGGTCCTGAACAAAATGTATTGTTTCATTCAAATCAGAAATTACATTCAACATTTATACATCCACATCCAACTAAGCCCCAACTGCAATGAAATTTGTTGTTCTAACAATGTACACAATCATGTAAGCTTAATTGGGCTATGTTCAGACTGACAGCACCATCAAGATATTACTTACAATAACTAATCGATGATAAACCCCGGGTTGACTTTGGTTGATAAAGTGGCTGATAATCTCCCGGGGTGGGAAGCCTCCCTCATGAATATAGCTAGTAGGCTGATTATGGTCAAGGTGGTCCTCACGGCGGTTCATATTTATCTCATGATGGTAATGGATCTTCCAAAATGGGTGATCAAAGCTATTGATAAAGAGTAAAAGGCGAAGGTGTTTCCTTTGGAAAGGACAGGAAAATGCTAGACTGCTAGTGATGGTAGCTGCCTAGTCTTTGGGATCATGTTTACCGACTACTCCAATATGGTGGTCTTGGACTTCATAACTAAGAGAAACTAGGATGGGCTCTAAGAATGTGATGGCTATGGCTCCAAAAGACCGATCCCACAAGGCCATGGGCTGGGCTGCCCATTCAAGTGCCGCAAAGTGTTCACGCACTTTTCAACGTTGTGGTGGTTACTACAGATGGTAATGGGAGGAGACCAAGTTTTGGACTGACTGCTGGCTGAAAGGGAAAAAAATTGTAGAATGGGCTCCTAACCTCTTTCTTATGATCCCTAAAAAGATAAAAGAAAGCAGAGAACAATAGTGCAAGCTCTTATAAATAGAAGATGGGTAGATGATATACTAGGAAGCCTCACTATGCTGGTCATTTATGAATATTTACAATTATGTGACTTGGTGGATGGGTTAATTTTGCAATGTGTTGGAGCAGTATGTTTAGAAAATCTCTGGGTCGGGATCTTACACAAGTAAATATGCTTATGATACTTTGTGGGATCCATCAGATTTGCACCTTGGAGCAGAATATGGAAAAGTTGGGCCCCTACCATGCAAATTCTTCACTTGGTTGGCAGTAAATAACCGAGGTTGAACTTCCGACCGCCTTGCCAAGTTCGGGTTGCAACACCGGGAGGCATGCACACTTTGTGATCAGGAAGAAGAAACCATTTAACATCTCTTCGTCAAATGTGTTTTCTCCCGACAACTTTGGTTTTTGATCCTTGAGAAGATTGGAATGGCAGCTGCAGCACCTCAGTCCTCTTCAACTCGTTTCTCTAACTAGTGGTTTAAGGCCATTCAAAAAGTCCCTAAGAAGGAAAAGAAGGGCTTGAATTCCTTGTTTATCCTAGTGGCTTGGGAAATTTGGAAGGGTCATAACGACCGTGTTTTTAATGGGGTACACCTAATATTTTGGTGGTTGTTCAAGCAGGAAAGTACCCTTTGGAGTATTGCTGGGGCCAAAGCTCCACGAGCTTTTTGTAGGTCGCTACCTCTTGATGGCTAATTCCTCTTAGGCCTAGTTCTTTTTCTCAACTTCAAACTTTGACTTCCTCGTTTTCCGTTAGCACGTTTTTCAAACTGTTAAATGTTGTGTTTTTGGCAAAAAGTTTCTACGTAAAAGTTATTTAAAAAAATCGAATAAATCCATTTTTTAATTTTATAATAATTAATACTTAATTAATTATGTGCTAATGAGTTTTCTCATTTCATGTGCACCGGAAATGTCCCTCTAATCGGAGAGAACGAACGGGGCCTTAGAGGTTGTTTTAGTGGTGTGTCATGTTGTGACGCCCTTTTCTTTTTTGGTGTCGCTTGAGGGATACTTTGGTTCTCTCTCTTGTAAATATTTCTTTTCTTCTTCATGAAATGAAGCACAATTCTCATGCGTTTTCAATAACTAATTGATGATATATTATTATGTGGCATTGGAGTTGATAATTCAAGTTACAATACGATTATAACTTGCATAGAACTTCCCTTTAAGAAACTCTACGGGACTCCATCCAAGTTATCTTTCCCACCCATTGAGTTGAAGCTCTTCACAATTTTCATTGCTACTCCAAAATTGGTGAGTACACATCATTTATTATTTCCATAATTATATACACCATTTATTATTTTCATAATAATCGTCAAGATTAATTTGGAGTAGCCAAAGCCTCGCCAACTGGAGTCTACACATCTTTGTTTGTGATATTTTATATTATTGTAAAACATGATCCATGTTATTTATCCCTTCATTATTTGTTTGCAGAATAAATTACATCTAATCGACATGTTATTCTTTTAAAATGTTATTAAGGCATAGTTTTCTCAAGCCTATGCTCGTATATAAAAATTGGGTGAAGATCATAAGCAAGACCAAATACATCACAAAAGGCAAAGAGAAATTACTTTTACGTATTGCAGTTTTTTACTAATCCCTTCTAGACCTGCGAGTTTTGCTCAATTCTCTATATACCTCTGAGTTCTGGTTTTTTTCCCTTAGATGCCTGATCTATCTAATAAGTATGAAAAGGCCTGTTTTGACCCCTTTTTTAGTCAAGAAAATTAACTTCTAGCTATTTTGGTTGGGCACTTTTATTTTTATTGTTGATAATAAATCATTTTACAAATTACTATTGCTTCGGTGCTTCCCTTCAAATCTGTTTGTAATTCATTGGGTCAATGCCAAAGCGGTTAATGGGACAAGAAAATGATTTTAAATTTAAAATCCAGTGAGAAAATACCAAAATTACAAAATTTATGTATTTTTGGCAATTTCATCCTCTTGATTCTTTTTTTCAAAATTAGAAAATAGTTACTAGGTGTGGTTTTGATCTAGGTAGGGTGTCTTCTTTCTTTGGGTTTCTAGTGAGGGGCAATAATGATAGATCATGGTTGGATCCAGGACATTCAAGGTGCTATTTCTGGTGGAGTCCTAGCGGATTTTCTCAATCTATGAGATATGCTTTCTAAGATTGTTTTATAGCTCGGCATGAAGGATATTCATAGATGGAGATTCTCAACTTTAGGCATAGTGGAAAAAAACGGACCGGGCTGGTGGTTCAACAGGAAAAAACTAGAACCAAAGGTCTCCAATTTTCGGTTGAGCCTAAAGACCGGACATGCATTCAACCCGAATAGAAACGACTGAACCGACCGGGTTTAGATCTCCATGGTTCGGTTGAGCTTAAAGACCGGACATGCATTCGACCCGGATAAAAAACAACTGAACGGACTAGGTTTAGACTATACCGGGCACTAAACCACTTTGGTACAACCGGGTAAAAGGAGATAAATGGGCCAAATTAAGGCCCAGTCCATTGCCTTCAGGCCCACGCGGCTGTTTTTTTTTACAAAAATCATAGGAAGGCTTGTGGTATAGGGACTCGAAACTGGGTTTGTGCATTGAGAGCGCTTGGCTCTAGCCATCCTACCCTTGTTCCCTTGTATTTTAGAGCAAATACACACCGTATATATTTGCTATTGAACCACGGTTCAACCGGCAGTCCACCGGTCAGACCGTCGGACAGGTGCACCAAGGGGTCATCCAGGTCACTCACCAGTCCAGTTTTTTGCACTATGAATTTAAGACAATATTCAGCTAAGGATGCTTATGATTCCTCCTTCCAAGGTGCCACTAAATTTTCAGGCCATGGGAACGTATTTGGAAAACATGGGCATCTGGAAAGTGTCACTTTTTTCATGTGACTTGTCGTGCATAATCACTGCTAGACACCAGATTGTCTTGCCTGACAAGGTCTGCCACATCCAGACCTTTGCGCTCATTGCGACCAAGATGATGAAACTATTGATCACTTTCTCACAAATTGTGTCTTCATGAAACAGTTTTGGTACTCCCTCCTGTAGAGGTTTGTCCTAAATTCTTTGGTCCCCCTTGAATGACGATCAAAATAAGTGGTGGAGCATAATCATTGAGGGTGCAATATGGCCTGAATTCTATAGTCATTCTTGGTTCTTGGACGCTTTGGATGCATCGAAACCATTGTGTTTTTTATGGGACTGCTCCTAAATTGGCCGATGCTCTTTTGCTTGCCAAGGAGGAAGCACAACTGTGGTTTTTGCCGGCCTCAGGGGCTATCATTATTGACTACTCAAGAGCCGGGTGGTTAGTCTCACATCATGGTTTGGTTTGTGGTTGTGGTCTTGTGTTGTGGTTTGGTTTGCAACATGTATGGTTCCTAGAACTCATTATGTGCGTGTTTGGTTCTGTACTCAGGGTTATAGCCCATCTTTTTTTCTTGTTAATATGATGATAAACAGATCTCCTACGTATTGGAGAAAAAAATGAGGGGTGATATGGTCATTCTAGAACAACCAATGATATAGGAACAAAAAGGTATGCATGGAATGAAGAGCCAAACATATTGGCATACATGATATCGAGCTAAACTTAGAAGTTGTATATAAGTAATAGAATAATAAAATAATAGGCAGCATACAACGAATTATCTCAAAGATAAATTAACAGGACAACAATACCAAATAAAATAGGCATTCTCATTTCAGATAAATATGATTTTCAAGATTGCACTTTCTGATACTTGGATTATGTCACTTTCTACTGTGATATATGTTCAATCATTTTATTATGTTCATTGCACATACTGGATGAAACAACAAATCAATGACTTAATCCTCATCTGCACCAACATCCATCACATCAAATACTTGTCCCTGCAGTAGCATATTCATATTAGTCAATTCCTTTGCCATGGTTTGGTTCTTCACCCGGTCTTGAATGTTCACTCCAATAATCATCTCTACTGCTTCAAGGGTTCTCTTTTCCTAGTAAATAGTAGAAAGTGTTCCAATTAGTTTTCTTTACATAATTTTTAATATAATAATATATAATTTTCTTTTCAGAAATAATAATAATACATATAAGTCTTACCTCTAAATCCAAGAGTTGCTCAGCCAGAAGGTTGGAACTATTGAAAGATACTATGCTAGAATTGACATCTTTGGAGAATTGAGATGGCACCAAAAATGCCATTGTTTCATTTGTTGGTTTGCATATCTTCTCTAATTTAGGGAACTTGATGGGACGGAAATTTCTTTCTTGATGAACAGTTGAGATCGCTCGCTTTGGAAAGACTAGCAAATTTGTTATATGCCCACCTAGTGACGAAATGACAAGGCAAAAAAAATGTTAAAATAAGAACCTTTCGGAAAGAACAAAAGTGACCCTTTCAGAAAGAACAAAAGTGACCCTTTCAGAAAGAACAAAAGTGAACTAAAATGGACTTCATGTAGACTTACCTATTTTGTTTTCTATTTTATTAATAACTTGCCATGCTCTTGTGTCCCAAACAAGGATAGTGCAATCCTTTGATGCAGAAACCAACCTTACTCCTTTAGAACAAAATGCTAATGCAGTAATTGGAGCGCTGTTGACAAGTTGGAATCAGCCAATTAGTTTTATGTTGTGCTAATTATTTTATGGATTCACAACACTTAAAATCAAATATTTTATCAATGTTAGGTATAGATTAGATATCAAGACTTTATAGAACTTTGTTAAAAAATACTTCGGAACAATCATAATCTAACATAGAAAGAAACTAATACTCAAGATTGGATACAATAGAAACTAACGTATAGATACATATTACATAAGTTTAGAAAAGTCTAAATACACCCCGCCCAAAAGAAACTTTGATTGAAAGTCCATTTGGCACCCTAATCTATTAAACCAAATACCCAACCCTCCGAACTATATAATATCATACATAAACCAAATACTAGTGCATTTTGCAAACTGGTTTTTATGTAATTTGCATATACGTTCGATGACTGCATGACATTGGACATATATGCTAATATCTCCACCTAAATCTTTCATTCTTACCCACTTTTTTCTTGAACTTACAAATGAATGTCGATATAATACTAGTATGGCATAACTATATCTTATATATTGATGACCAATGACTGATGATGTGTAACAGGCTCATTTAAGCTTCCAAATGCACAAAGCCACTATCCAAAATCACTTTAGGAAATAATATGAATGGTATTCCAAAGTCTGGGGGTTATGTTTAGGGTGCTACACGGAATTTTACCCAAAGTTTAGAGGTTATGTTCACCGTTTCCTTGAAGTTTTAATTGTGATAAAGAAATGTGTTCTCATTTTGGAAATCCCTATAATTGTTTTATATTCTTGATAATAATATTTGTTCTAAATTTAAAATAGTACATTGCATCTTATTGTCAATTATTGATATGTCTTGAGTAACATTTGCAAAATTTACCAATCAATGCTCTTAATTCAACTATAACTTACTTGTGTCCTGAAAGAATTTGACAATTATCCTCAAAACATGTTAAACTGGATTTTTTTGTCCCAATTCCATTCAACACAGTGACATATATACAAGTATCACCAGCCCCACAAAGTAGAAATTGTTCCAAAGGATCAACTGCGATTGTAGTAACTGAACTGGAGAGTGAAATGGTGTGAAGTAGTAACCCAGACAATAGATCCGTAACCTAGAAAAATAACATATTCTCAAAGTTGTCATCAGCGCCAATGGAAATCATGCTCAAATCTACATTCAAAAAGTGTGCTAAATCTTACGAGTAAGTGTTCTGTTGCATTTTGGTCTTGGTACTATTATTGAATATATTTTAAGCAATGAATAACACAAGCACAAGAAATTGACCACATCGAGTTTTGTGTTGATATGAGATCTAGTTATAATATTGAAGCAAACATCAGAATAGTAAATTGTATAGACAACAAACATATATGTAAGTTATATTGTTTAAAAAGAACTAAGCATATAGAACCATTTTACTGAATAATATATTTTGAATGTATGGAGTATCAGTAGTCATAATTCATTGCTAAATTATGAAAGTGTACATGACATTTAGTACAGGAACTAGATTTCAAGTTTCATATAGGATGCTGATAAAGTTGCAATATTGATCACTGCAAAAGGAAACAACATATTTCATCTGAGGTGCATTAAACCTTGCAATTGCCATCGAGTGAGCTCGTTATTAGAATGGGACATTGACCCCTTAGCATTGTTAAAATGCCAGTTATTGACGCCTTGTGCTCATTTTTCTTTACATTATAAAAGTTGGGATATATCTCTGTACCTTCAATGGGTCGAGGTTCCTCTGCTTGAAATAAACTGCAAAGTTCATATGCAGAGCGAAAAATAGGTTATTGAAAGCATGTGTTAACTTAAATGCTTAGTTGATTATTCCCATTGGAGGGTTTGGTGCCTCATCTGATATCAAATAGCCTTACATACCAACAATAATATACTGGTAACACTGTTCTTTTTCTGAAGTGGAGCATTTCTCAAATATTTATTGTACTGCTTTTATGAGATGTTTGGTATGATAATATATAGTTAGAAGAGTGAGACTTTGTCTCTGGAGTGGAGTGAGAAGAACAGAGGACAATTGTTGACATGATGAATTGTAAAAATAGCTTATTTTCAACTACCTACATACATATCATTGAATTCTGGAAAATTGTTGCATAGATGATTTCAATGGTGGAGATAGTGAGACAACGGCTCAGTTCTAGGAAATGTGGTCATTTGTCTCATGGTGGTTGGGAAACATTGATAAAAATATATTTACCCAACATCCCTTTACGGCTTATATATGATGGGTTTTATCTTATGCTTGAATGAGTCCACAAACAAGTTGGTTCTATCAGAGGTAGCTTATAGGTGAAATCATCCTATTGGACTAATGTGATTGCATTGACATTTAATGCGATTCATTAAAAATGATCTATATGTTTTAATACTTGCCTGTAAGACTCCTTTCCAAATCAAACTGTAAAAAATAGTTTGTGTAGTGATAGTGACTAATGGAGTGGGAAGAGCAAGAAGACATTGACACCTTGCTGGATCAACTGAATATGAGACAACTTGCTAAAGGGGTTGTAGCCTAGTGGTTACAGTGCTCAAGTAGCACCTCTAGGTCCTTCATTCGACTTTCCAAGGGAGCAAATTTCATGCTTGAATAAAAGAAAAAGATGCCGTGAGGGCCTCCCTCGCTATTTCCAATAAAAAAATAAACAACTCTAATTGCAATCCAAGGATTGTCTCAAATAGTCTACAAGCCTGATGAGACTGTTGCGCTTATATAGTTTGCAAGCTATTTGGGACATTTTTCTCTTTGTCATAAGTAGTTCTTTAGCTACCTATTCTTGCTAGTTGGTTCTGGTAGTGCTGAATAATGTAGTGGTGCTTTGTTCCTATGCTTGAATGGCAAGCCTGCGTGTAATACTAGTAAACCCAACAGGAAAAGTTGGGCCTTAAAAAAAAGGAAAAAAGTACAAATTACCCCCTGAACTATCACGGTCGACCGAATTACCCCCCCCCCCCGAACTCGAAAACCAGATATCGCTCACCCTAAACTTTCAATACCGGACAAAACACCCCCCTACTCAATATCAGAGTGGTTTCAGTCCAACGTGGCAGTCCAGTCAGCAACTTTTTATTTAAAAAAGGCAAATTTTGCTACAGAATACTACTTATGTGTGGTTTTAGCCCTAGGACACTGCTCAAACTCACATTTGGGGAAAAACACTCCATAAACATGGTAATTTGCTAGTGGACACCGCGCCGATTAAAATAATAATATCCAGTTGAAGAGGAGAGAGAAATCACATGAAATGTCAATGTCAAAAATACCCTTCGGCCCACATGTCAGCACTCATATCTCTCTTCTTTTAATTTCTCCCTATCTTCCTCCTTCCAGCGTCACTCTGAGAGGCAAGCCGGCGTGCGGAGGACCGGCACGGGTGCGACGGCCTTGCGGGTGGCACGGCGAGGCGAGGTGGCGAGCGCCAGCGGGGTGCGGCGGCTGTGCGGGCGGTGCGGCAGTGGCAGCGGCTCGTGGCGACACCATGCAAGGTGCGTCCGGCGGCGAGGTGTAGTGGCGCGGCGACCGTGCAGACGGTGTGCCGTGCGAGCACGGCGGCGGACGTTGTCGTGGAGGCGCGCAAGTGCCCCCGCTAGCGCGCGGAGAAGTTCGTGGTCCAGGCGAGCGCTACGGCGCGGAGACGTTCACGGTCCGCATGGCCGCCGCGCCACTGCACCTCGCCGCCGGACGCACCCCGCAAGGTGTCACCGCGAGCCACCGCCGCTGCCGCACCACTACACCTCACCGCGCCGCCCGCACAGCCGCCGCACCCCACTGGCGCTCGCCGCCTCGCCTCGCCGTGCCACCCGCAAGGTCGTCGCGCCTATGCCGGTCCTCTGCACGCCGGCTCGCCTATCAGAGTGACGCTGGAAGGAGGAAGATAGGGAGAGATTAAAAGAAGAGAGATATGAGTGCTGACATGTGGGCCGAAGGGTATTTTTGATATTTCATGTGACTTTTCTCTCCTCTTCTACCAGATATTATTATTTTAATTGGGGCGGTGTCCACTGGCAAATTACTATGTTTATAGAGTGTTTTCCCCCAAAAGTGAGTTTGGGCAGTGTCCTAGGGTTAAAACCACACATAAGCAGTGTCCTGTAGCAAAATTTGCCTTTAAAAAATGGTGGGGCTCACATATCATAGTCTCTCTCCTCTCTATCCCCTCTCACCTCTCTATCTCTCTCTGATGTCGCTCACTCGCCGCTGAGAACGAGCAGCGCATGCGCCGACGGTGGCTGGCCCGACGCAGTTGGTTGGCTGCAAAGGCCGGCGACCGCGGAAACGAAGGTAGCGTGATCGAGGACTAGCGGCGCGCCAGCGGTTGCGAGTCTCCTCGAGGCAGAGGCCGAGGATGTGGCGTGCCGGCGGTGGCCGGCCCATCAGGCTCACCAGGCCTCGTCCTCCTGTGGTTAGGGGAGTAGTGGCTCGCGCCGGACTTACGCGAGAAGGCAGCCATGGCGGGGGAGAGGGGTGACGCGGCGGGGCGGCTGCAAAGGCTGACGACCATAGAGGCGAGGGCAGCGCGGTCGGTGGCGAGGCTAAGGCAACTCGGGGTCACGGGTGAGGCAGCTCAGGGTCGCGGGTGAGCAGTAGGGAGAAGAGTAGACGAGTGGTTCATCGTCGCCATCGCCGTCGACGTCATTGGCCGGCGCTGAGGCAAAAGCGCCAGCGCTGTTGCTGCTCCCTTCCCTGGAGACGGCGGTGAGGCCTCTCTCTCTCTCTCTCAACTCAGGCAGGCGGCGAGCGATGAGTCTGTCGATGTTTAAGATCGCGACTAGGGTATTTGGATGGTATGGGGATCGTTGGTACCAGGTATATGCGAGATTGAGGTAAAAGAGATGGAGACATGGATTTTTATACAGGTTCGGGCCCCTCATCTGATAGGTAATAGCCCTACATCCTGTTGACCGAAGCCAGTGTTGCTCTTATTCATCTGAATCACACAAGTACAATATTTGGGATAACCTATCTAGTTGTCGTCAACTTGGCGGCTAGATAACCAACTCGTAGTCGACAACAGGGCAGTCTTCCTCCTCGAATATGAACCCGTTGAGATCAGAGATGATGCTAGATCCCTCTTACCGGCCTCCGTAGGCACCGGATGGGGTATGTCTGGCTAATCTCTGATGTCGAGATCTGGCGGCGTGTGTTAGCGTGTGTATATGTTGGTCTTGTGGTTTTGTGGCGTTTGGCTTCTGTCTCCTCTCCTCCTAGGGGGGCTTGTATTTATACCCATAGATGCCCCCTTGTCCAAGTAGAACTAGGGAGATAAACATAGATACGATCCGAGTAGTCCTTGTAGTTTACATATAGAACTCTTTTTGTCCTTCCTTATCCGGAACTCCTTCTATATACGAGGTATGATTCCATATAAAACATGGTATGTGGTGGGCCCTGCCGAGCTTAGTCGATTACTATTGGGTATGTGATATCCATAACCCTGACAAAGTCCTCATCGGGGAAGGCGCGACACGTGCGGTGGGGAGGGCGAGGCGGGCGGTGGGCGCCGACGAGGACATTGGAGACGGCAGGCTATGGCGACGAGTTTGCAGCCCATCCCCGTCGTCCCAGCGCCCGGTTGCTCCTCCTCCACCGCGTGCTCCACCGCTCTGTCATCGCCGCCTCCGCTCCAATCACCTCTCCTTCCCGACGCCCTCGTTGGCGGCTCTACCCCTCTAGCCCCGTCGCGACGCGCCCTACCCAATCTCACCGCCGCACCAGAGGGAAGAAAGAGAAAGGAGAGATTTTAGCAGTACTCTGACCGCCACTGCGTCCTCCGCACCGCCCTCGCCTCCGCCTACTTGCCGCTGCCGGCACGCGCCGCCTTCGCTTCCGCCTACTTGCCGCTGCCGGTCGCGTCGCCATGTTGTGTCGCCCATCTCCCCCCATGCCACGCGCTACAGAAGAGGAGGGAGAAGAGCGCCGCGTCACGCCCTCTCCCTAGCCACCACCCACTTCAGAAGGGGATGGAGAAGAGAGATGTGGGCGGGGATTCCAACGAGTGGGCCCTAGCAATTTTTTTTTAAAAAAAACTGATGTCTGGACTGCCACGTGTGCTATTTGAATCCTAAACCGCTTGCAACAGTGCTCGGGGGGAGGGGGTGTTTTGTCCGGTATTAAAAGTTCAAGGTGAGCGATATCTGGTTTTCGAGTTCAGGGGGTAATTCAGTCGACCACGATATTTCAGGGAGTAATTTGTATTTTTTTCCTAAAAAAAATGCTTCACCGACTTCTAGCTTGTAGAGAGTACCTGACCATTGACCAAGTATAAACCATCCCTTCTATAGATCCAGAGATGAGAAACGAACTATCTTGAGAGAAGGCTAAACAACTTATAGCATTTTTATGTCCGCACCATCTTTTCAATAATGCTCCACTTGCTATCTGAAATGAACAATATTTTCAAGTGAAAAAGAGTTCATATTAAACAGAAATTTGTCACTAAGTGTGTGATGCAAAATTTAAATTATTACTCTTTTTAGATATTTGTACTATTTGCAAGAATATTTCCCATAGAAGATGCAATCTTTATTTATGAATTTGGATTAAAAAATACACTCATACACTAACCATCCAAGTAGAATATCAAACAATGCAGTAGGTTAAAAAATGTTAGTATGTCAAGTGAAGTAGAATGAGAGGCATTAAGATTTTGTTCAAGCGAAATCATACATACAAAAGGGATATTCAACTGAACTGCTTCTCAAATATAAATACAAATCATTATATATCCTTGCTGGAACAGCACTACCAATTTATCGCTAAATGAACTCGTAATGTTATTTTTAGGGAAGTTAACATAGTGACTAGAAGTATAATTAACTTCCATGGTCATAAACTTTCTTCCGTTTGTCAGTTACATGGACCTCCTTATTTAGATCATCCAAACTAACATTAACAAATGGAGCAAACCAATTTATGATCAGAGTGGCATCCTTTCGATAAAGATGGAGCATAACGAATACTAGGTTATAAATGAAAGAATTGGCGGGGCATAAGTTTTGATGTGATCTTTTATTAGTTCAAACTTCATTTTGTATTGCTGGACAAACCAGTTGAAGTTCGGTAGATTCATACATGTTTAAATAGGAAATCCCCATGTCTTTCATAAATCAAAATAAAAGAACTTGGTATTGTTGGATATAATTATGCATTAGTGATGACAGGATAATTCGTAGAATGATTTAAAAAACAAACATAAACACAAGCCATACCTTCCTTTAATATAAAGATACCCAATTCAAACATCGAACAATGCATCAAGAGTCTCTTGTTGATCATAATCTAGCTAGAATAGAACGACGTATGAATAGTTTAATTCTTTTGTAGAAAGAGGAAGCTTTTTTTATTTACCTCCCAAATATAAGTATGTCCAGAACTAGCACCACCAACCAAATACACCCCATCTTTTGAGCAAGCAATGGGCCCAATGGCTTCAGCTACATAACTTTTTTGCACTTCCTTGATCTGTAAAAGGAAAATAATTTAAATGGAACTAGAATAGGACTATAGGGTATTCACAATTGAGATATAAACACTCACATGTTTGAGCATTAATCCTTTGGGCCCATATGTTAAAAGTAATGCCATTTTGTTTTCTCACTAAATGTTAAATTTGAACACTTATAATATTTTACAATCAATCAGTTTTAGTCATTTACCATATAGAAACATACACCGTATGTACTTGTTGTGTAAGGGTAATGAGAAGTTGTAGTTAGTTGATTCTATGTCCTCGGTTGATTGAGGGAAAAAACTATTACATCTAGAAATGAGCAATACATGCCGAGTTTTAGATGAAATAGGAAAAATGGACTTAATGTATTATCACTTTAGCTTGTAACTTGGATCACATTTTTCATCTGAATTATGACTCACCCTAATCACAATCACACTTTTACATCTTGAATCCCTTCTACCATAATCTGGCATATGATTTCTGACTAAAATTGAAAAACCTGAATTTGTCAATACTGATCGAATTAGATCTACTCCTACAAACATGATAGCGAAAAATCTAACAAAATTTAGAGTATTTTGATAAAATAATCCATCTTATTTTTTAATGAAACATATAATTTAATTTGGAACCAATCATAACACAAGGACCAGTTCTAGCCCTAGACTTCTGCAATTAATTCATTCTCTAGACTAATTTGCTGCCATGATCCACACAATCCAACCTATGATCTACACAAAATCCATTACCTGAAAGGGCAAAGACGAAGAAAAGACATCACATGGCACAAAAGAAATCTTACCTTACTTGGAGCCCAGAAATATATAGCACTTCCAAAGATTGGTTGATCCTTGTCTGTCCGAGATGCAGCGAGGAGAAATCCATCAACAAAAGCGAGGCCACATGGAGGAGCAACGCAGTCGTGTATGTACATAATCTTCTCGCATGTGTTGATATCGTACACCAACCCTACATCATTAGCACACACCACTAGCATTGCCTCTTTCTCCCCCATTCTCTATCTTAGGTAGGCAATGGTTCTGGTAGAGAGGTTAGGAAAGTGAAGATATTGTTTATAATGATTTTGGTCTTGGAGTACTAGGAAGTGAAAAGAGGTTAATAAAGACAATCCAAAAAAAGCTCCAAAAAGTCTGAAACTGAAATTCCTTTTTAGGAGAGTTAAAGATGTGCATCTCATGAGGCAAGGACCACAGAGTTTGCTGAGTACAAATGGTCCTTATATACTCCATCCGTTTCACAATGTAAGTCATTCTAGCATGTCATATATTAATATTGATGTTAATGAATCTAGACATATATATCTATCTAAATTCATTAACATCATATAAATGTGGGAAATGCTAGAATGACTTACATTGTGAAACGGAGGAAGCAGCTTCTTCTATAAGGGTACATAAAAACTTCCTTGGTTATCTATGGATGTTTTTAGATGCAGAAGGCCTTGTTTGTTAAAATGGGTCAGGATTTTGGCCAAAGAAAGTTCTAGGAGATTACACAAGCATTTAATAGAGAAAAAAACATTTTGATATTGAAAGTTAATTCTTTAGGATAAATTGTTCTCTAATTGATACATCCAGTTTTATAACTAAAGCATTTATTAGTTTTGAGGATTTAGATCATCCACTACACCCTAACGAGTCAACATTTTAGAGATATGGAGAGAGGGTTCATGTGGTAAATTCGAAAGGCCACTTAGAGATCATATCTTGTCATATATCATAGCATCATTCGGTGGCAAAGGTCAACAAAGATGGCATTGAAATGAACAACAGGGTAAGTGCAAAAAAAAGTATGCAATCTCACCATTGAGCCCCTCTCTCGCGCAACTTTCCCACCCTCATCCCCCTCCTTCCGTCCCCTATGCCACTAAGTTGAGACCCTAAAACCATAGAGTAGCCACTCATTGTCATCCTGCTAGGCTGGTATACATGCCATCATTCGCGCACTCCCTAGCAGGCACTAAGTGCCGCCATGCTGTCTCCAACCCCTCCTAAGCTCCTCCACGCTGCATATGTGACCGCACCTCCCCCATGCCTCCTAGGCTAGCAGTCGTTGTTCTGCCGTCCCAACACCACAAGACATACTGTAGAAGCTCGGTGCATCTGCCCGTAGCTGCACAGCCAACTTCTCGAGCTCCTCCCTTCACACTAAAGTCTTCCCAATGCTCCTTGATCCATGCTGAAGGCTTTCCCGAGCTCCTCAACCACTCCCGTGTTCCTCCCCAATAACGCAAGGCATCTGTGGAAGTCCTCCCCCCCCCCTCCCCTCCCGTGCTCTAGTTGTGCAACTTCAAGGTCCCCCAACATCGTTTTCACCTCTGCCTGAGGACAATTCTGAGGTCCCCCAACCGTGGTTTTTCATTCAAAATTGGTTATGTACGTGGAAATTGAATTTCCTTGTCAACTAGGAATCGTGAATTTATATATCCTACACTACATAGTTGGAGCCAAAAGCTTAACAATCATTGAGCCACATCATCTATAAAATATTGTCCTTTGGATCCATCTTATGCTTTTATCTTAATCATTCATATGCCATAACATCACATAGAAAATACCAGCCTTTGGATCCATCCTATGCTTTGATGTCAACCATTCATATGCCATATGAATTTAAAATCCACTACGTTTATTGCCATAAGGCTTAATGTACATTGAACCATGACACCTAGAAAAGTAATAATCATTAGATTACTCTCACACTTATAAAATTGCAATTTCACATCAATTACTATATAGAGCTCAAAATATTGTCCATTTAGGTATTACGAGTACACGATTTAAAAAAATACAAGTTTTCTTTAAAATATTTCTAAATTCCCGGTTGCAACGTGTGGGGTATATCCACTAATTATGCAAATATTGTGATGTAGATTGCCTTCTCTGATGATGATGCCAAACCTTGGGCTACCATGGACCATGCTAGTTTTCTTTCAATGATTATTTTTCACATTTTTGGGGCTGCAAAAGGAATAAGCCACTTTGACTCCCTCAAATATAAGTACAGACCCGTTTGGTAGAGCTCCAACTCCTAAATTTAATTCCGAGGGTTGGGTCTGGAGTAGAGTTGTGGAACAGTCTAAACTCAACTCCACCTTTCTACTTTATTTTGTGAGAGCGCTCACCAAGCTCCACTCCCATTTTAGATGGAGCTGAAACTATTTGGCTATGCTCCAATTCCACGAGAGGTGGAGCTGGAGCTAGAGTTGTGCCAAATAGACCCTACAATCCGATTCGTATCCCTCAACCGCAATACCAGATATCTTAACCCTAAACTAGTAAAACCAGTGCAAAATTACTCCCTCGGTGGTTTTGAGGGTGGTTTTCGCTGACGTGGCATGTTGACCTAGTCCACCTTGCTAAGTCATCATGTGGGACCCACGAGTCAGCGTCCTTCTTTCACTATATCTTTTCTCTCTTCCCACTTCCTCTCCGACCTATCCATTTGACGCAGTTGTGGGCGCCGCACTCCCTTCCTCTGCCCCGGGTCTTCAGCCTTAGCTTCTGCGGTGGCCATCTCGCGGTGCCGGAGACGATGTGATGAACCCTGAGTTCCTCTCGACACTCAAGGCTGTTGTTGGCCCGATCTTTCGGTGAGTTGTGATAACTACGATTTGGGAGAAACGTTGACGATCCGACTACAACCGTACGAGACGTTGTGTTGCGCCTTAGCGATCGATACACCTCTCCGTGGGTTGCTGATCTTGCCGGTGCAGATCAACCCTATTCCTGCAAGCAAATCGAAGAAACAAGCAAGAACAAGATAAAAGCAATCTGATATTGCAAATAGGAATTTAATACAAATGATAAGTTGGGGTTCCGAAGAACAAGCAGACGGACGGTCTAGCCGACACGCGCGCTGCAAGCAAGTAGCAATGGCTAAACTTTAATCTAACAAAACCCGAGAAACCCTGAAGGGGTAACTAGCTATATATAGGGGTGGGAGGACGACCTAGGGGTGCCTAGGGTCATGCTCCACCAGCTTGGGGCACACCCCACATGGGCCCCACCTGGGCCGGGGTCCCAAATGAAGTTACAAGCCCATAGGCCCATTATAGGTGATGCAACATCTTGTTCCTGTGATTCTGGCCACACGAGATAGAATTCAGAGAAGAGGCTGGATCCGTTAGAAAGAGGGCTCCGAGAGCTTTCCATCAAGTACTCACGGGCCGAAAACGGAGGTCGTATGCAGATTCGGTGGCCGTTTGAAGTCAGCAGTGTAGTAGGTGGCCGAATCGGATTCCAGCACTTGGAGTACTTGATCTCGATATCTTCTTGTTCATCCATGATGTGAGCAATGGTTGCATCCGTGGTAGCCATGGTCACATCATCCTCCCCTTCTTCACGGAAAACCGTCCTCGGTTTTTCCATATGGTGCTCTTTGCGTAGTCCATTTACAACAACCTGTTTCTTCCAATCAAAACAAGGCAAACTCGAGACAATTTGGTTAGCAATAACATTTTTCTCTAGCTTGCATATTTTATCCACATGTACAGGAGGTTCTAAATCCGAGCAGATGTAAACTCTATGCACAAAATATATTCCAAGATCATTATATTCACCAAAGATGTGAAATAGAACATTGGTTGGATATGGCAAATCAGACTTAGCAAATAATTTCTCCTTGAAATTATCGAGCTCACAAAAATCATCAAACTGAACATAGCCCATAGTATTTAAAGAAGATCTCAATTCACGCTCCTCTACTTCATTAGCAATGTGAACAACATGCTTAAAATCAGTGCAGTATGAATTAACAGTAGGAATAGCATGTTCATTCACAAGTTGTGGCATGGATATAAGTGAAGCATTATCGCATAACTCTTCTTTATCACAAGGAACAGCAAACAAATCAATTTGTGACAAAGGAATCTCAGCAGTTGGTTCCACTAATGGTTGCTCTGCTATAGCATGAAAAGTGGACAAATTCAATTCATTAACAACACACTCACCTTTATTAATTTCAGCACCATTAAGTTTACCTTTGATGCCCTCTTCAGATAATGGAGGTGCCTCGACTTTGAGTGTGATCAATGGGACTGGTGGCTCTTTCATGTCTCTCTCCTCCTTTTCATGATTATGCACTTCCTGCAAATGGTTAGTAATAGAAGACAAAAACATAGCATGTTGCTTCTTCATGTCCTCCTCTATTTTACTTTCAGCATTGCAAGCAAGTTGTAACAAATGAGAAAGAGATGTATATCTTTGACAATCAAGCATGTCCTGAATTTCTTTGTTAAGCCCACATAAAAACCTCAATTCTTTAGCTTCTTCGCATTCATCTAAACCACAACGTAATAAACAAGCTTGCATATCATGATAGTATGAAGTAACAGTTCTGGTATCTTGTTTTAAACATTGCAGTTTGTTGAACAAAATGTCAGCATAATACATGGAAACATAAACATCTCTGAAATATCGTTTCAGGTCTTTCCAAGATTGTGGTATTTTGTTATGCCTACAAAGATGTTTCCAATCATTAGAAGCATGTTTAATTAAAACACTAGAGGCACACATAACCTTTTGTTTCTCCGACAAGACATGCTTTTGAAATTCACTATCAACCGCTAGCTCCCAATTAATGTAAGCACGAGGATCATAGTCTCCCTCGAAATAAGGCAGTGCAGATTTGATCTTACCTAGAACATCATCACTTACCTCATAATGGTCATGTTGATCCCTCCTCATGTCTCGACGAAGATGTCGATGTTGAGCGCAGCTATCCCCAATTATCTTGCGTATCCCTGCCATTGTTAGTAGAAAACAAGAAACATACACAAAAATATGCGCGTTCCTATTAACTACTAGGTAGTGGCAGCTCAAAAATCGCACACACTCAAGCTTTTAACCAAGCTCTTACAAGATCTTACCAATGCAAGTGGAATGGTGACATACACCGACTCAACCAAGCACCCCAATGAAGGTTGGATGTATCGATGCCTTGGCAAACACTTGCGGTACAGCTGTAATCAAATATGTGGAGCTCTGGGTAGGCTTAAATATGTAGCAAAGGAATAGCAAATGCT